GACCCTTGCCTAGTTTCAGGCTGTAATATAAATTAGCTTTTTTTTCATACTCTTTTCCATTGTCTCTTTTTTTCTTTATACAGGGTGTTGTTTTCTCTCTTCTCTCTCTCTGTGTGTCTCTTTATATTCCCTGCTCTTTGTTAATTTTCTTTCTTTAACTTGCCACCACTTGTCGCAGGTTTTCGATTTAGTCTTTCATTTCCTTTTTGTTCAATGTACTTTTTTGTTATTGTTGTTGTTGCTGCTGCTTTAATAACCCATTATATTTGTTGTTGTATTTTCATTTTATACTTTTCTATAGTATTTTGCAATTGAATACCACTCTATCATATGTTATTGATTTTTGTATTTCTTTTACTCAAATCCACTTGTTCGTTGTTGTTTTTTTGCTGCAAAATATTTTCGCAAAACTCTTCTTTATTTCGCATCGAATTATCATTTCTTTTAAAAGACTAAAAACCCTTAGAAGAAATTGCGTAAAGTTAAAGTCATGTACATATTTGTAGTATTTTTTTTTTTTTCGCAAAAAAATAAATATAAGGAAACAAAATCTAAATGTTGTAAAACACATAGGGATGCGTCATTAAAGAAAATTTCTTTATTGAACTAAGCAAGAAAGAACAGAAGAAAAGAATGGTAATAGAACCTTTTTTTCTTGGCTATAAAATAAAATTAAACTTGAAATAGAAAATCAATAGTAATTTTATAAATTAGCATCCATTGTATGTATGAATGAGTGAATACAATTGTTAGAACACCTAAAAGTGGGCAATGTTTTTTGTTTGCAAGTGAACAGCTAATGATAGGCTTTGAATATGGAGAAGTTTTTTTTTTGTAATTTCTTTTGTATGTTCAATTTTCATTATCTATTATGTTAATGTATATTGTTTGAAAAGTTATGTGTATTTTTCTGGATATTATAAAAATTACAACAAAATATTTCCAATATTTTCCTTCATAATTGATCCTTTTTAGAACTACTAGGGACTGAACTCACATTATTCAATTTTCTAATGGCATTCTAAATTTAGAAACTTATATGTATTATATGAAACCGGTTAAACAGTCGAACGGACTGAATGATGATCGCATTGGTCATGGCACCATCCTACAATAGATAGACAGACCAATCATGGGGCAGGAAACGGACTACATACTATCTATACTGAATTTTAATAGGTCATTCAAGATCAGAATACCAAGAGGGGATGATTGGGCCGCGAACACTGTCCTAAGGGACGACGTGATCTCAATTTATACTAATGGCTCGAAAATTTGATTATACATATATACTTGGACAGCCTTGCATCAATCAAGGCTCCTAACTCCAATGTTATTATGTCGAAATGTCTTCTCAATTGTATTCAATCACACAACTGACACAACATCATGTTGAGTTGATATACATGAGGGCATCAGGGGAAATGAAATATCTGATTAACGCGCTACCAAAGGGTCATCCCTAGACTTAACCCTTGCACAAAAGGACATTTATACTCCCCTGACGACCCTATCAAAATAGATATATTAAGTGAGCTTTGAGTGGGACGGAACTACGGTGGTCAAATATTACCACCTGTACAATATCGAGACTGTTCTGGCCCACTATGACTACAGATAGGACTAGGATTCCCTTGTCTCTTAGCAAGAACTCGATTAGGGAACAGTATGATTGACATATGTATGTATGTGGTAACGTATGGACTACCCACGTTATAGCTACTGTAGAGGCTGCTTGGACCTTCTGCTTCGACCTTCTATGTGACTGCCCAGCCTTGCAAGAGCACAGACTACTCTATCTTGGTAGAACTCTTTTCCATGATCTATACTGTCTCAGAGATGCGTCACTAATAAATATGATCGGTTTTATTCAAAGTACCGGCTGGTTTTCATGGAGACCGAACGAACCAAGTTGTCAACGAAATTAGGGGAAAAACCATTCTCTCAACATAAGGGAATGGTAATTCTAAAAGTAACACAATGGGCCACAAGGCCTCCGAGTGAACTCGATACTAGCGAGCAACCCACATAACCTAACCTAACCTATCGGAACATTATATATTTTAAGTAATTTAAGTAATTTCAATAATACCAAGCAAATATTCCGGGATCCAAACAAATACAAATATCTTTTAATAGCTTATTATAGATCTAGCCGATTCAGTCTATCAATCTTCTTCTATGTCTGTTTTTGGTTCTTAATTATTCGGGTATTTTAGGTAAAATTCGAAGTAACTGTGGAATCAGTGCGCGTACCATGTACAAAAGGTTATTCGTTGTTTCATCAGATTCAAAGTCTTGTCATTTAATAAGGCCGAAATGTTAGCTTATACTCCGGTATATCAAACGAGTGGCATTCCTTGATTTTGAAGTACATTAATCTTGATCAATTTCTTCTAGTGAACATTTGGCTTTCTTCCATACGTAACGAGTTATTTGTACGGGAAGCCCCGGATTTCAGCTTTAGCCTAAGTTCTAACTTAAGTTCTTGCCGCCGTGTCGGCACTATTAAACCTGATACTCATGGCTAGTATAGTGATGTACTCATCTCTGTTGTTGTCGCCAACGTTAGATCATCGTGCTATAGCTCTATTTTTTTTACCTTGTACTTTTGTTTTGTAATCTCTTGGATTCGTTTTGTGACGTTAAGGTGGAAACACCCTATTGATGTTAAGAGGAATGCCCTGTCCCTACAAACATTCTCATCATCCAAAGACCTCTTAAAGTCGCCCAACCACACTACTGAGATGGATTCAGTTGATGCGGCAACAGCACCTAGGGAACGTAATTGGTAGTCCAAAACACGGATCGGCGGAAATTCGCCGATAAATTAAAGATTAAGGTGTTAGAGCTCCACAACTTCTCAACCAATTTCACCAACATTTCAACTGTCACTCCTTCTGTCATTCTGACATCTCCACAGATACAACTCAGGATCCCTCTCGTCGATCAGATACAAGTATCCGAATGGTACATCTCACTCCATTATATACCCAATCTTTGCATTATCAGCTCAATTCCAAGCACCCCCTTCCCGCGAATTTGGGTTTAAACCACTGCCACTACGTGGATTCCGAAGGAACCTCAACCAACTGACCAGCCAGAACAAGTCCTGCGGGCAATTGGCCACCCGTAGTACCAGATTATGTGGTGCTTTGGTTAGACCCCATGTCAAATCATCCAAGGACTAGCCAGGGAGTGAAATGTCATCACCAGTTTATAGTTCCCTCTTTACCCCGGAATTGCAATACATCAAGATGAGGGTCTTTCATCAAGGAAACATACCCGGGGGGGACAAATCTCGCAACCAACCAAATTTCTTAATATTATCAAGATTGGATATAGTTTATCTTATCCTTTTTAATGGAGTCTTGTTTACTTAACTGGACGATCGGCCGAAAGTTTCTCACTTACTCTCACTCTTACGAACTCAATGTTATATCGGAACCACCAGGAATCAAAAATAGGGTAAAACTAGTTATAGTTTTAAAGATCACTGGTCGAACAGTAGAAAGTTTTTCATATTGTCTCTTACGAACTCAGTGATATAGCTGAATCAGCAGGAAACAAAAATTGGACAAAACTAGGGATAGTTTTAAAGATCACCGGACGATCAATAGACAGTTTTTCATAATATCTCTTACGAACTCAATGATATATGTATCTGAACCACTAGGAACCAAAAATTGATTAAAACTAGTGATAGTTTCAAAGATCACTGGACGATCAGCAGACATAATGTCTTTCACGAACTCAATGACATACTAAAGATAGGGTCATTGAAAATCAGCACACAGTTTTTCATAATATCTCTTACGATCTAAATTATATATCTGCATATAACAGTCGAATAGTCTTTTTCATGGTTCTATTAAGGATTTACTAAAATTTCAAATATTTTAGTATTGAAACTATTTTTCACTAAAATTTATATTATACAAAGCCACAAAATTAAGCTAAAGTTTGCAAAAATCTAACATAAATATTTTCGTATGTAATTGCCTCTATGTATATGTATAGCCATACATTTATATGCATATGTATGTAAGTGTTCGTACAAACAAAAAAAATACTTTTAAAAGTGTAGTATAGTTTTTGATGTTAAGGAAGAAAAAAAGGAAACAAAAACTTCCTCCTTTGATATACAACACACATAGTGTATATGTAAGTATGTATATACCTATGGGTAAAACATGCTTTTGCCAATTTTTTATGCATACTTTTAGGCGTTTGTACTTTGGATATTTTTATATTCCCTATTGTTACATTGCTTTGATAAAAATTCAGCCTAATTTCAGGCGTTTGATTCATGCAAACTGTAAACACACTCATCACACTTACACAGAAAAAAAAAACAAGTCAAGTAGTTTTGAATTTTAAAAACTCAAACAAAACATAAAAAACTCTGCCTACTTTTAGGCGATTGAACTGAAAATACAACCCTTTTTGCTATACAACCTTTTTTCTTTCTAGGTAGTATTAAGTTAATTTGTCTAAATGTTTGTTTGCAAAATTTATTGGTATAGAACTTTATATAACGACCTTATTATCCTTAGCCATACAATACAATAACAGAAATAATAACAAAACAAAAACCAACAGCATGTTTTAACATGTCTAACAACACAACTGCAATTGTAGGTTTACTTTTTTTCCATACAACGAGTTTTTGTTGTTTTTGAAAAAGGCTTTTTAGGCTTTTGGAAATATAAAAAAATACTGCAGTATGAAATCACTTATAACAACACAACAAACAGCAACGGTAGCAGCAACAACAATTGCAGCAACACTAGTATGAGGAGCTGTAGTAGTACTATTATGACCCATTGCCCTGCTTAATAATAAAAAAATACTATAACAACAACAAAAACTGACTGGTAGATTTTGTTTTTATTTTTGCGAGAATACACGATGTATAAAGAACAAGAAATATTTAAGGCTAAAGAATAGTTAGAACTTTTGTGGTTCCAAAATATTATGGGTTTAAATGATGTACTCACCTTGTCTACCGGCATTGATGGGCACGCTCTACACAAATTCCAAAATGAGCCGATCATAAGGAAACGTTTCAATTTCTGCTCAACGAAAACTGAATTAAATTGAAGAAAACAACAATAACAAACAATTGAATGGAAGGTTTTGTTAATTAATGTTTTTTTTTTTCTGTTTAATTAATTTTAATTTTTTGTTTTCTGTTACTTGCGTTGTTTATACTTTTGCACACAGAGTTAAACAATAATAACAACAACAATTAACAACAATTATAAGCAACGTTATATTTTTTCGCTCTTTCTTTCTTTCTTTCGCTCAAATCTCGTACGCTCTGGCTACTTTCACTCTTTCTTTTCTAAAGCTTTCTCGTTATTCTGTCGTTAAATTCTTAATAAAATTGATTAAATTAATTAAATAAAATGAAGATTTAATGCTTTAACACATGTTTGCGGTAGTTAAAAAATAATTATTGTTTCAAGGAATGAAGCTTTTTTAAAACAAATTAAATAAATTAAACAAAAATTCTTAATAAGTTTAGTTTTAATATATAGTATAGTTTTAGGGCTTTATCATATACATATACAATACAACAGCTATTAAACAAACATCAAGGCATACTTTAAGGAGATTAACATTTCAGTACAATTTTTTTTTTATTTTTATCTTTTCTTTATGGGCTAAACGTAATGTATTTTTTTAGCCAAAATAAAAATATGCCTGCGTGTATGTGTAAACACACAAAACCGAAGTGTTATTCAAAAGTTTTTGTCGGTTGTTACCTTGTTAAGTCGTAACGCAACCAAACGCAAATGACGTTTCCTATAGATGTGTGTGTGAGTCTCAGAAAAGATGCCAGATTTTTAAGGATTTTTTTATAAACATAATCCCAGATAATATTTTTATACCCTACACTACTATAGTGGGGAGAGTATTATGCGTTTATGCTGATGTTTGTAACACCCAAATATATTGGTCCAACACCCACTTTAAAGTATACCAATCGGCTCAGAATCACTTTGTGTGTGAATTTAGCTATGTTTGTCCGTCTGTGTATCTGTCTTTCAGTCCGTCCGTCTGTCTGTCTGTCCATCTGTGTGTCCATATAAACCTTGTGCTCACTCTACAGGTCGCAATTTTCAAGACAATTAGATGGAATTTGCCCCATAATCGGTCTATTATTTCGTATAGTCCCCATACAACCGTACCCCCAAATAGGGCTTTTGAACTCATAAATATGTATATTAAATGTTCTTAGTTTAACATAAGACTTGATGATACTGCTGATTTTCATAATGATCGGGCCTCATTTGACCCTATCCCACTTACTAAGTCCCCTTCAGAAAATGACTTGATGGTAAAAATTCACTAATATCATGATGATATTCTGCATAAATAATTGATGTAGGCGTAAATCCTTCTACCAAAATTTATAAGGATGGCACCATATTAACCCCTAACCCCATATAACCCCTATTTTAGAAAATCCCTTTTTTGTCAACGAATTGTTAAAATATTTCTGATTTTTTAAAAAAATAATCAACATTTTTAATAATCACTGGTGTAGGGTCAGCCATGTTCAACTATAAATTCTTACTTGTTCAAAATTTGTGATCAAATTTGAGTTTCATTCATGATCCTTCAATATATTTAAAATAATCATGGATGGGCTCATATTCGAATAATAAATGATACTTTTGATACTAAAGTAGTATCCTTGAGCGGCTCTTCTTAAAGTGCCTTTAATGACACAGAAATTATTGTCATTTTTTAATTAAATTGTTTTCTTCCTTTTCATTAATTTTTAATTGATTGAATTAATTTTTTAATTGATTAAATTAATAATTTAATTGATTAAATTAATAATTTAATTGATTAAATTAATAATTTAATTGATTAAATCAACTTTTTAATTGACTGAGAACGTTTTTCTAGTCTACTTTACTAGTATAATGATTATTAATTAGTAATTTTATTAATAAATTAATTCATTTAAAATTTTATTATAATTAAATATTTTGTGGTAATACTTTCAAGAGAATTTTCCAATATTGCATAGCTTGAGTTTGACCTTCACAGTTTATGGGTTAAAATTATTCGATTTTACTAAAACTTCAGATGTAAGTTTCCTATTATCTTAAGTTATATATTCTTTAAAAGTTTTATATAAAATGCATATCAAAAAAGAATAAATAAAGTCTTTTTTTAAAAAAATTTACAAAAATATAGTTTTCTTCGAAATCCTCTAAATTCATATCTCAAGTACCGCTAATCTGTGAGTGATATTGGAATAATTTCTTTACTATTTCATTCTCTTCTTTATAGTCCATTAGTCACATAAAGATTTTTTTAAAATTTTACAATTTGCTTAACAAAATTGTTAAAATTTGAAACTGGAGTTTTGAAACTGCAGTCTGAAGGGTTTCCCATTTATGAGTATACCCTAAATACGATTTACGCTATCTAATGATAAAAAATAATAATTTATAAAATATATTAAAATTTCGTTTATATTGAATATCGTAAACTTTAAAGCATTTGTTAGAAAGTTAAATAGATATACATATACCCTATAAAGTTTGTAATTCCGTTTGGTATTTCTACTATATAATTATCTGGTTCCTTATTGCCTATTGCCCCGTAACAGACTCTCTGTCTGTTGAAATCAATTTTCTGTAGACCCCAGATATCTTTATTATTTAAATCTTCAATAATTCTATCAGACGTACTTTCGAGAAATTTCCTATTTAAAATCGACAAAATCGGTCCATAAATAATGGAAATATGAGCAAAAACCGGGACAACCTATTTCGTCAAAATATTAGAACTTGCAAACACAAAGGAGAGGAAGAAATTTTTTTTCCACCGATTGCAATGAAAGTTAAGAACAATTGTGGGTGATGAAGAGAAACCAATATCAGATTCGGTTCCATCATCTTAAAACACCGGATTTTACCCAAACATTTCTTTGATACACCGTTAAAATCGGTTTAAATATGCACCTAACCGAAATCTTTATATCAAACATCATAAGGATCGTTCCATAATTGACCGATCACCACTTAAAACCGCAAATCGGCTCAAAAACTAAAACTTCTTATTCAATGTTGACATAAATCCGTAATCTAATATAATACCAAAGTTTAATTATATGTCCGTCCATCAATAATGATTAAACTCTGTTTAAATTTTCCCCTAAACAAAATCTCTCAACCAAATATCATAAAGATCGGTTCATAATTGAGCGATTATCACTCGATAGCACAAATCAGCCTAAAAACTAAAACTACATATTCGATGTTGACGTAACAAAAACTTTGATAATAAAATTTAATATTTTACATTCTAGACTGACGTTTCAAATTGTAAAAAAAAGCACTGCTAAGCTAATTTCATATCTATCCGGGAAATTTCGAAAACAGAAAAAAACCTTTAAATCCTTGAGTTTGAAAAAACTTTAAGATTTTTAATCTTAAAATCTGTTTTCGTATGTATACATTCCTAATAACTTCGATCTGCGTAAAATCAAAGAATTTTCAAGGATGTCACTAAAATATTATAATACAAATTTTGTGCTGATTCTAGTATTTAATCAGGTGATATATTAGATTCTCCAATATAACTCAAATTTAACTAATATTAATTTTATATAAAAATTTCAGAAATTGACACTTATTATGGTAAATAAATATTTAAAAACTGTTTATTTATTATAATTAAAAGAAATATTCTTTAACACCCTTAAAATTTATTTAGAAATTTCCTTGAATATTAAATAAAAATCCCTGTTATCTGGCAACACACAACCTACGTAAAATTTAACCATCAAAAGTGGTGATCTCACACATGTTAAAAAATATACTAAAGAAGAAAAAATTTTCTCCTTGTACATAATATAATAAACACACATACACACTTACACTTGTTAAATAGCAAAAGAAAAAATCACATAATAATTATTTTTTTCAAAAATTATTAATAAAACAACAAATAAGCAAAATTTAAACAAATTCAAATAAATTTTAACCATTTTTCAGCCTTAAAGTATGCTTGACCGAAAAAAAAATTAACGAAAAAAAACAATTATTTTTCAAAGGTTTCTTCGTTTGTTAAAAAGACGAAGAAGCAATTGGAACAAAAAAAAAAATATATTGTTCAATTAACATTTAACACACAAACACACACACTCATACACCAATACACTTAAGGTTTATTCTCATCATAATCATCATCCTCTATATATATATACCATATACATCTATATATACCGTTATTTTCTTATAATTTTTTCTTCTCTTTTATAACAGCTTTTTTTTGTAATATTAATTATTTAAACAAATTTACTTCGATTAATAAAGGGAAAAATTTTAAAATTTCTTGTGCTTCGTTAGTGGGTTCCAATAAAATTTGTTAATTTTACTATGAACTTTTTCGATTTTTCTTATTTTTTCTCTTATTTTTTTTTTCTCAATTCTATTTTTTTTTTTTTTTGCAAAAGTGATTTGTGAAAATTTTTCTTGTGAAAAAATTTTCCAATACTTTTTTCTCTGTCAGACGCGCTCGTTAGAAGTGAATTTAGCTTTTATTTTTCTTTTTGGATTTCTTAACAACTTATCACGACGATTAGACGAACACGACTGAACAATTTTGTGCTCTGTGTGAAGTTAACGTTTTGTTTGTTGGCCATTTCGTTTCAGTTTCTGTGGGGCTGTATAAGTTTTCATTTCTTTGCAGTCGAATTGAATGAAGGAGTGGTTGGAAAGTTAAAGTACAAGTGTAAGGCGAATTCACATAAGGTGGTGTTCAAGGCGTATTCAGATAAGGTGATGTACAAGGCGTATTCACATAAGGTGGTGTTATTCAATCACCTGATAATTTTGTTCTTAATTCGCCTGGTTTACGTAGCTGTCAAAGTTTGTTATTGGCATTGAAAATGAGAAAAATCGGTTCACATCGGGAAAAGAAATGAATAAAAATTTTAAAAAATCCGAAAAATTAAGCTATATTACATATTTTTAAGCAATTTTCACATTAATTTTGTATACAAAAATGTTAATGCAAAAATTGTTCACGATCGGTCCACTATTACATATTTTAAAAGCATACTTTAAGCTATAAAAATAACAAAGAAAATGAACAAAAATATCGTTAAGCACAGAAATATCGTTTATTTACATGTGCTGCCCGAAATAAAAATCGCCCTAGGGTAGTGCAGCTAAAAGCTGCTCATTAGAAATACCCGTTTTAGTGTGACGTGCGCAGCAAAGTGTGTTTCGGCGCAGAAAAACGCTCTGAATTTGCAAGGCAATTTGAATAAGGTGACAGCGAAAGACAAATTGCGAAAATATTTCTATGTGCTTTCAATAAATGTCAAATTTATTTGAAATGTGACATTCTGGAAAGCCATCTTCATGCTACTTTCTGTATACTTTTTGATTATAATTTATTAAAAGGTTGGTATATATGAAAGCTCAATGATATGAAATGTATGGATTGTAAGAGATAACAAGAGATGGCAGCACGTGATAGGAAAGAGATTTGAGGTATGGCAACGCTTACTGTAGAAAAAGTGGTAACTCTTAATTTGAAGAGTAACTGTTATTTTTAAAAGAAGGTGTTGTTGGCACTATCTATCTAACTAAGAACGAAACGAACGAACGAACGAACGAAGAACGAACGAACGAACGAACGAAAGAACGAACGAACGAACGAACGAACGAAGAACGAAACGAACTAACGAACGAACGAACGAACGAACGAAACGAACGAACGAACGAACGAACGAAGAAACGAACAACGAACGAAAACGAACGAACGAACGAACGAACGAACGAAAGAACGAACGAACGAACGAACGAACGAACGAACGAACGAACGAACAAAACGAACGAACGAACGAACGAACGAACGAACGAACGAACGAACACGAACGAAAACGAACGAACGAACGAACGAACGAACGAACGAACGAACGAACGAACGAACGAAACGAACGAACGAACGAACGACGAACGAACGAACGAACGAACGAACGAACGAACGAACGAACGAACGAACGAACGAACGAACGAACGAACGAACGAACGAACAACGAAGAACGAAACGAACGAACGAAAGAACGAAACGAACGAACGAACGAACGAACGAACGAACGAACGAACGAACGAACGAACGAAGAACGAACGAACGAACGAACGAACGAACGAACGAACGAACGAACGAACGACGAAACGAACGAACGAACGAACGAAACGAACGAAGAACGAACGAACGAACGAACGAAAGAACGAACGAACGAACGAACGAACCGAACGAACGAAACGAACGAACGAACGAACGAAACGAAAACGAACGAACGAACGAACGAACGACAAAAACGAACGAACGAACGAACGAACGAACGAACGAACGAACGAACGAACGAACGAACGAACGAACGAACGAACGAACGAACGAACGAACGAACGAACGAACGAACGAACGAACGAACGAAAACGAACGAACGAACGAAGAACGAACGAACGAACGAACGAACGAAGAACGAACGAACGAACGAACGAACGAACGAACGAACGAACGAACGAAAACGAACGAACGAACGAACGAACGAACGAACGAACGAACGACGAACGAACGAACGAAAAACGAAGAACAACGAACGAACGAACGAACGAACGAAACGAACGAACGAACGAACGAACGAACAAAACGAACGAAAAACGAACGAACGAACGAACGACAAAACGAACGAACGAACGAAAACGAACGAACGAACGAAACGAACGAAACGAACGAACGAACGAACGAACGAACGAACGAACGAACGAACGAACGAACGAACGAAAGAACGAACGAACTAACGAACGAACGAAAACGAAACGAACGAACTAACAAACGAACGAACGAACGAACGAACAACGACAACTAACGAACGAACGAACTAACGAACGAACTAACGAACGAACGAACGAACGAACTAACTAACGAAAGAACGAACGAAACTAACGAACGAACTAAACGAACACAAACTAACTAACTAACTAACTAACGAAACTAACTAACTAACTAACTAACTAACTAACTAACTAACTAACTAACTAACTAACTAACTAACTAACTAACTAACGAACTAACTAACTAACTAACTAACTAACTAACTAACTAACTACTAACTACTAACTAACTAACTAACTACTAACTAACTAACTACTAACTAACTAACTAACTAACTAACTAACTACAACTAACTAACTAACTAACTAACTAACTAACTAACTAACTAACTAACTAACTCAACTAACTACTAACTAACTAACTCACTACTATTAACTAATACTACTAACTAACTAACTTTAACTAACACTAACTAACTCAACTACTAACTAACTCAACTAACCTAACTAACTAACTACTTCTACTAACTACCTAACTACCTAACTACTAACTAACTAACTAACTACTAACTAACTACTAACTAACTAAACTACTTCTAACTAACTAACTAACTAACCTAACTACACTAACTAACTAACTACACTAACTAACTAACTATTACTAATAACTAACTAACTACTAACTAACCTAACTAACTAACTACTAACTTCTAACAATTACCTAACTTATACTACCACTCACTAATACTAATTGTTCTCTTTTCATTTCATACTGTTGCCACATTTCTTTTTACTGCATTGCCTAATAATAACTATGGCAACGCTTCTACAAACACCCCCATATGGCAGCACAAGCTATTTAAACACAACTCACCATCACTACTAAAATTACAATTATCCCCACACCCGCACTAATGTACGGCAACACTATTTACAGACGGAGAAACAAAATCTTTTATTTCGTGTCGTACGGTTTGGTGTCGCACGCTTTTGTATCGATTTAACCCCTGTTTGTTGTGTATCGTGTGTGCGTTTGTGTAAATCTCTGTTGTTCTTTTACAACCAAACAAAAAAGTGCAATTTTATAATTAAATAAAAAAGCAAATATTTTTAAATTAAAATAGTACAATTGAGTATGATCAAAATGAAGGAGAAATAACAAATTATTTTAAATAAATAACAAATTGAATTTAAACAAAAGTTTCAAAAAACAAACACAAAAGAAAACGACCTTGAATTAAATGTTAAAATCATTTACCAGAAGAAGAAAAATAATAAAAAAAGGCCTTTCTTTTGGAAAGCATAACAACAAGAAATAAATAGTTGCAAAAATTATCAAGTGTGAGAAAATAGTGCAATATTTAAAAGAAAGTTATTTATTTTAATAAAAAACTAACAAAATTTCTAAGGGTTTAGGAATTGTTTTTGTTATTTCTTTAATTTTCTTGTTCGCCAGGAAAAATTCTATTTGAACAAAGGAGCATAGTGTTGTTTGTGTAGTGTGTGTGTTTGTGCCTGACAGTTGGCGTGCGAAAACGTAAAAAGAAAGAGCATAAGAAGTAAAAAAGTAAAAGGAACCAGAAAAAACTGAACAAGGAGCAAACATTGCGGGGGTGATTTGATATTATTTGGCCACAGGCAATGTAAAGTAAATCAAGCAAAACAAAATAAAAATAACAACAACAAATGTTTGTATTACAACAAAAACTAAAAAACAAGGAATTCTTAAAGGGCGTCTCTTCTTTATACATAAATAACGACTAGGTACAACATGATGTTAATGTAACTGCATTAAATTTTATATCGAGGATTTCATCTGGTTATTTTCCATAATATTATAACTACAACAATAATAACAAAAAAACAGCAACTATTGACCACCGCAACCGGTTTTTTTCATTCATTCATAAGAAGAAATTATTGGAAGTGAAGGTAAGTGGAAAGTATAACAATAAATAGCTTGTATTACAACAAAAATACTATTGGAATTATGAGTAAAATATTTATTAGGTTTCTCAGATGTTAAATTAATAACAAATTTTTAACACCGAGGCCAAAGTATACTTTTCTAAAGGATTGAGCATCGTTAAATCCGAATATGGCCTCTAAATAGATATAGTAAGATATAGTGTCCTAAAAACTGAAAAATACTAGTTTTGGCTATATTAGAGACCTTCTAAAATCGACCTCATCTGAAATTTCAGTCTGTCTACCTCTTATCTAACAATCTAATATCTCATTTTATAAGGGCGGCCATCGCTATAACAATTAAAACATTTGTCAGAATTGATTGATTGCAGGCTTATATTTATATTATTATATTTGAGTCATTAAGATATCTTGTTAAACTGTTTCGAAGATTATTCCCCCATTAACTTGATGAAAGACCCCATCTTAGAGTGATTGCAATCCCGGAGAAAAGAGGTGCTACCAGTACCTCTAGTTTGCCGGGACTATTAACTGATGATGATAAAATGTATCCTCGGCCTTTCATCGGAGAGATTTGACATGGGGTCGAACTAGAGAACCACCAGGGGAACCGGTAACCCTCAGACCAAAGTTTCGGACTTTGTCTTGTCCCGGTGATATCTATAATTCGGGATAAGTTTTGTGACTGACTGTGGGAGTAAGCGTTGGAAATGAGTTGGTGTTGATGATACAGGATGAATGTAGGGCGAAACAATTCTTACCTTCCTTGTCCAGGTATGTTCAGTGAAAACTCTGTTCATACCAGATTTACCACAGTGCGTTCTCTGTTAGTAATAACAAAGTCCTCGGCGGCGTGTTTCGGTATAACGAATACGTCTCTAGGTGCTGTTACATACTCAACAGAGTCCATCCCATCTGCTTGGTTGTAAGCGAATGTGATGTTTTTGCACCTCGGAAGTTAAGCAACGGGGCAGCAATGGTCAGAGATTAGATAGCTCGAGTATTTGAGCAAAGTGCTTGTACATGGACCGGTAAGATGCACAAATGGGTGAGAAATTAGGCCAACACGGCAGGTGTTCACGTAAAGCACTTCTAAATTCATTGCTAAATCGACAAAGTTGGTCTAAGATTTATTTCAGATTAACACAGAACAGAATCTTAATGTCTGAACTCAGTACTTTTAGAATAGCGGGAAATCTGAGTGGTAACTAGTAAAAGGGACCCATTATAAAGCCATGTGTTGAGATCATATGCCCATAATCTAGTACATTTTAAATCGTAAAAGCATTTCATGAAACCTCCAATTGTGTACGCAAGGTTGTGAAAAAAATTCTAGTATACAATACTCATGTTCCACTTGTCGTATGATGCGTACCGTCAGTCCTGTGGTAATGGTCTTTGATAATCTCATCAAACAATTGATCTTATGCGGTAATCGTATTATTAGCCGTCATAGCATCGGAGCTGATATTTGACAGCTGTAGACCATATACAGTAGTTTTTCGATTTAACGAACCTATATGTTGTCAGGCCTGTTCGTTAAATCGAAGAGTTCGTTATATGCAGTACTAACTCGAAAGTGTCTTTTGGGTACATAATTAATTAAAATTACGTAAAATCTAATTTATAAAAATATGTTCCAGGAAATATAATTTCTTTAGACAATATTTTATAAGAATTTTATGAAAAACTAGCAATTTATATCACAATATAAAAATAATAAAGAAATTTGAAAAAACTCAGTTTATTTCGTATAACTAATCTACGTTCTGGAAAAGCACTCGGACGACATAATTCTTAAAGAAGTTTAAACCCAATGGCTGGAACTGCGATGAATCTGAACATGGCCACAAAATTCCTTAGGAAATAGATTAATGTATAGTTATTAATGCGTTTCATTGTTTCACAGTTTCATTGTTTTCATTCTTTGAGATATCTGAACCCAAAGTTTTTTAAAATATTTTTTCCTTTATTTCAAGCTATTCCTGTAAATATCCTTTTTCCAAAAGAAAAACTATTTATATTGTTTATTCTATAACATATCGTTTCTTACAATTTCTTACAATTGATTTTTATTGGAAAAAATAATGGTCACAGTGGGGACCATAATTTTAAATGTTAAGGTATACGATTGGCAAAGTCTTTATTTTGAACACCAATTTCTATGATTTCAAATTCTGAGGCCAAATTCGGGTTGATCACGAGCTTCTAGAAAAGTATACTTTGGCCTCTCTAAACATTTTTTGTTTTAGTTTGTGCGACATTAAGGATTGTAGATTTGATTATCTCATATTTTTGTATAAATCTTTAATAAAAAAATCTCAGATTATCTAGAGTCTTCATTTTACTAAATTAGAAGAAATCAACTCTCGAAATTCATATTCGAAAGCAATGGAAAAGTAAATACCCCTCCTAATAACGTCGAAGCTTTTCTGACATGATTTTTAGTTATTTTTGTTAATTTAACTCTAATTTAAATTATTTTATTTATATTTGTTCGTTAAACTGAGTACAAAAAATATTTTTTGTTCGTTATGTAAGGTACTCAATGTAAAAATATTGATAGTTCGCTAAATGCGATGTTCGTAGAAACGAATGTTCGTTAAATCGGAAAACTACTGTACATATATAATAATATATGCTTGGGACTAATGTAGTCCTAGTTTTTCGGAATATTAAACCAAAACCTATATCATACTCTTCGAGAACATGCTAAATTTTAAAGCAAAACATTTGACATATTCTCGTTAACTCTAAGGACGTATTGGACTGTAAGAAAACCACAACTCTTCAGTGGTAAGATGTATAATTTATAGAGGGAAGAGAGCTTGAGGAATTTAACCAGAAGGAAATCAGAGCGATAATTTTTAATCTTGTTAAATTCAAGACCATATTAGACTGTAAGAGAATCATAACCAAATGCTCTTCCAGTGGTAAGATCTATATATATATATATAATTAGCAATGAATGAGGGAATATACTTGATAGAGAACCGTCCGAACAAAGTGGATCTCACGAGAGCTGATCTGAAAACATGGGCGAGAGAATCTCGTAAGACTACTTGATAAAAGGAACGGTGGGTTAAATCACTAAAATCCAGAATTTTTTCTAAAATAAAAACAAAAAATAGATGAAAAACCTTTATCTAAAACTTATTTCAGTCCCATATAAAAAAATTTAAGATGAGATGATAAAGCCATGTTGTTGCGGACCTCTATGATTACTGTATTTAATAAAAACTAATGTGAATGAAACTTAGTAGTGGTTTATATTAATAAACGAGAACATTGTTCACGTCATCCATTATATTCAAAATCTGTGTGTCGCAAGTGATAACTTCGATTAAAGAACGAATTGAACGAAAACTCTACATTAGCCATTACCAACGTTTTTTGGGGAAGATATCAATGAAAACAATATGCTTAAGAAGTGATTTTCAGACAATTATTATGATTTCAAAATTTACTAAATTTTCTATACCTACTTATGTAAGACACCTGCTTCCATCAATAATGTGGACCTTTCTTAAAAATAAAAACAAATCTACTTAATCAAGTTGTTGTTGTGCTTTCCTTGATATTATTTTTTGGCAGATTTTGATTTACTCTCTTACACATTAAATAAAAACAACAAATTTTGATTTCACTCCAAGACAAACTGATAAGTGGAATATTTCGTTTTTTATTTTTTGCTGAATAATGAATTCTTAAACTAATTCATTATTAATTCAAAACAAAACTTAATATTTATGTTGTCAACTATATATGTTTGAACCAAAAATAACGCACCATAAGAAATTTCTCTTTTACTGAAAACACACAAAATTTTTGGCTCTGAATCATTAATGTACAGAGACAATATTATTTTGCTCGAATAATTTTATTTGGCTTCTTCACTTTTTTTTCCATCTTTTTTAATGTTAATGTGTGGTTTTTGCTAAATTTTATTTTTAATGTTTACCATACTATACTACGTACCGGAAATGCAGCATAAAATTTAAATTAACAAAAACATAAATACATAAAGTGAAATATATATTCAAAAACAAAAATAAACATAAACCGAAAAAATAAGAAAGAAAAACATGAGAAAAAAGTATCACTGCTACTGTATTTTTTACCAGACAAAATATATATAAATGCCAACAAATGTCTATATTTCATCGTTTAGCGCTACAATTTATTTAGCAGAGTGGAATGACTGTTTAATTTTCAGTTTTTTCCTCTTAGTTTTTATACCCACCATCAAAAAAGATGGGGGGTATATTGTTTTTGTCATTCCGTTTGTAACACATTGAAATATTCGTCTAAGACCCATAAAAGTATATATATTCTGGGTCCTTATAAGATTCTAAGACGATCTAGCCATGTCCGTCCGTCTGTCCGTCTGTCCGTCTGTCCGTCTGTCTGTCTGTCTGTCTGTTGAAAACACGATAGAGTCCAAATGGAAGCAGCTAGCGAGCTGAAATTTTGCACAGATACTTTTAGTTGATGCAGTTTGTTTGGTATTGAAAATGGGCAATATCGGTCCACAATTTCGCCTATCCCCCATATAAGGCCCCCTTCAGAAAATGACTTTATCGCTCATAACTTGCTAAGGGAAGAACCAATAGCGGTGAAATTTGGCACAAATATGTCTTATGGGAACCTAAATCTCTTCGTAGAATTTTATAAGGATCGGTCCATAATTGACCCTACCCCCCATATAAAGTCCCCTTCAGAAAATGACTTTATCGCCCATAACTGCCTAAGAAAAGCATCAATAGCGGTGAAATTCGGCACAAACATGTTTTATGAGAACCTAAATCTCTCTGTAAAATTTTATAAGGATCGGTCTATAATTGACCCTACCCCCCATATAAAGACCCCTTCAGAAAATGACTTTATTGCTCATAACTTGCTAAGGGAAGAACCAATAGCGGTGAAATTCGACACAAACATGTTTTATGGGAACCTAAATCTCTTTTTAAAATTTTATAAGGATAGGCTCATAATTGACCCTA